GTTTGTTCTTGCCATTGTAGTTCTGAGTTTTGCCCCATGGATAGACAAATAGCAAAAGAGGGGGAGTTCATTCAGAACGTTGGAGCATGCTGACCTTTTAATATGCATGCCCTTGGCGAACAATGCTTGTTTGGGTTTTGGTTCAAGTATTGCAACTACCTTGTGGATATGTATATAAAAACGTCAGTTTGGCGATTGTTGATCTGAATTCGTATGCTAGGATCTTGTTGGAAGGTGGTCTTGTTGGAAAGCTTAAGGAGCGTTGTTGTTGTTGTTGTTGTTGTTTTTTCTTTTTTTCAATACCTGGTTTTGTTCGAGTAGGTGCAGACATGTTACTTGACTTGTTCCTCAACGTCTTGAATAATTGATGTTTATTACCAATTATATCGAATGCTTTCAGCAGTTAACATTTTTTAAACAGGAAACCTTGGGATTTCATGCTGCATGTTGGCAAATACTTAGAATGATCATACTGCATGAAAGGAGGCCTGTTTTCCTTATCAATATCTGGTGCAACAGCTTAATTTCAGATTAAGCTGTGGCAATAGGATGTTTTCCGTCACGTTCAAGACGATCAAACAATTGGTTGAAAGTGGGATTGGTTTGGAATTTCTGATTGATCAAATAGTTTAGCCTTGGGATCATCCTTCAGGAGAGTTCTGATATCAGCTGGGTATTGGTTTTTGCGAATATTAAAATTTTTTCTTTCTATGCCATGGATGAAAGGTAAGATCTAACTATGAATCAGTGCAGAAGAGGCAACAGTTTGATTCATGACAGTGCTTATACGGTCTATAAGGGACGTGAGTGAGTGAGTGATTCGAGTTGAGTAGCACTCGAATGTTACCATCAACTCGTTCCATTTCGAGTTATGCTTGCTTAACCTCTGAGTTCAACTCAGTTTTACCGGAGCTTGATTTCAATCGAGCATTCATAATTTCAAAGAAAAATGAAAATGACGTTTTTATTTTTCTAATTAACGTGCATTACTCAAGGTGGTTTAATCTTTAAAATAGTAGAGTGACAAATGCATTACTTTTTTTTTTTTTCCTCGAGGAAGACTAGCGCATTACTCAAGTATGAACACTTCCCCCAACATTTACATCGATTGGAAAAAATCAGGAAAAGTATGTACAATCAGGAAGTAACTTCACTTAAAAGAGAGATGCGGCTGTTGCAGGGGAAGTGACTTCACTTAAAAGACAGATGCTGCCGTTGCGGGGTGAGGGGAGCAACTTGTTTGATCTTGTGGTGCACTCATTCTCGTTACAAAAATGGAATGACGTCCCAGATTAACTCTAGACCATGACTCCTTACAACTCGCGCAAATAGCGACACTGAGATTTATGTAACCTAGTCTTTTACCTAGCTTTAACTGGCTTATTTGGATTGGAGAGGGACTTCTTTCTCGTACGAGGAATAGAGTTACACTTTCTTTGCTAGCCTAAGTTGGGGAAAATCGGAAAAGTATGCACAATCAAGGCGGCAATACTTTAAAAAAAAAATTAATTATATATATATTATCAATGTATTCTAAATTTAAATTTGAAATCTAAAATTTGTTCAGTGCTATCTATCTAACAGTAATAATGCATGCACTGACAGTATATATAAGATTTACTCAAAAGCTGATGATGATAAGAATTGGGAGTTGAAAGTTATTTGCAACTGTCACAGTTACATTTACAGCTGCTGTGATCTTCATATTTCCCTTTTTTTTTTTCCAACAAACTTCGGGTCTGTTTGTATTGTAAGTTATTTGGAATTATTTGGGATATTTTTACTGTAGCACTTTTTGTGATGTGATGTATGTGAGATAAAAAGATATTGAGAAGATAAAAAGGTGTATTGAAAATTGTAAAGATGATGTAAACAAATAAAATTGGAGAAATATGAAGCAATCCAAACAAACCCTTCATATTTCCTCACTACAAAGAAATGAGAATGCGCAAGTCCACGTGGTAATATCTCCTTTCATCAAGCGATAGTCAAGGGTTAAGAAGGTCGCTGTCATCTTCATATTCCCTCAAATCCACGTGGTAATATCTCCTTTCATCAAACAACAATCAAGGGTTAGAAAAAGGTCAGCACACAAGAGTACTTAAAGTCGCGCCCGCACCAAACCACGGCATTTCGACTCTCGGGCTTAACTAGGGTTTTACGACATCTCTCCGGTGCAATACGGCTGATTTTTCACTCATTTGATACGAATTGGATATGGCAATTGCGTCTGGTTTTCGTCGGATTTTGAGTTTAGCGTCGTCGACAAATTCTTCTTCTTCTTCAATTCGTCCTTGTCTGTTAGCTTCAACTCGTCTCCATTCGACCCTCACTTCCCCTAAACTCTTCATTAGTGGTGCGGCACAAAGATCCGAATCTTTATATTCCTTTGCAATGTTTTCTATGGTTTTCAATACTGCTGGTCGTAGGTTTTCCAGAATTTGTGATTATACATTTGGTTAAAAGTAAACTTCAATTTGACTTGCATTTACTTTTAACGCAAAATACAATGTGCCGTGGAGTGTTTGGAGACAGATCCAACTGCTGGTATTCTGTTTTCGCCTTTAATGAAGAAAGTCTTGTTCTTTTAGTCGTCAGATCGTTTCTATCACATTTTTAGCTTCTGTCATTGCTGTCTGTACTTTCTGTGTTTTTTTTTCCGCTTTTACTATTTCAATTAGAGAAAGAGTAACATTTATCCTGTATGCTGGTCTTGAATATCTGGAAGCTAGTAATATCTACTGATATCATTCGAATTCTTTATTCACTTAGTAATTTGCTAGAAAGTACTTGCAACCACATTTCTAATCTTGGTTCTGCAAGTACCCCTGAAATTTTTTTTTAGCCAAGTGCAATTTTTTTTTTTTAGCCACAATTTGATCAGTTATCATCTAAGATGCATTGTCACGGTGCTCTTCTAACTTGAAGTCGGGGTTTTGTTGATATTTTTATTTTGTTGGTGTTTAGTTGACATTGCTACTCTGTCCTTTTCTTTGGATCTGGTGGTCATTCGTATTGGGTGCATTTTGCCATGACATGTATTTTTTTAAGTATACAATCTTTCTGGCTTCTAATTGAGCAGCATTATGCCAGATGTGCCGTGGAGATATCTTTATTATTTGAATTTAGATATGAATATGCCCCCTTTTCTTTTCTGGTATATTAATGTTAATTCAAATTGAACTGATAGGATGTCCAACTTTGGCTTATATTACATGACTGTTGATGGTGTATAATTTGCCACGATCTAGAATCATTTTTTAAGTAACAACGATCTTATCTTTTGATACATATTGTTGAACCGGAGTGATGAGGAAAGATTACAGAGTGGGAAGCAGAGGAGGCAGATGTAGAGTGGTTGTTTATGTAAATTGCAGTAAACGAAAAAAGTCCTTAATAATTTGTGATTTCTATGATATCTTCTGTTCGGGTGGTAACAGGGTCTGTCTTGTCCTTTCATTTTCAGTGTGTTGAAGAGTCTTTTTTTTTTTTTGGATCCCCCCTCGCCCCCTTGTGGATGGATTTGAGTTGCCTTTGTGAATTGACTGGTTAGAATTTAACATGATGCAGGCCTTTCAAGAACTACAAATGATGAAGCACTCAATAATGCATTCTCGCAATTTGGCAAGCCTGTCGAAGGTACTGTGCTTTCAGCCTATACCACCCCACTTCATGTGACTTTGTGACAATTGTCGTAAACATCAAATATAAACATCTGGTGTGTCTACCTGCCCTTTTTGCAGTGAAAGTCATCACAGATAGAGCGACTGGAAGATCAAAAGGATTTGGGTTTGTCACTTATGAAACTATAGAAGAAGCTGAGAAGGCTCGACAGGAAATGAGTGGAAAGTTCTTGGATGGCTGGGTTATTTTTGTTGACCCAGCCAAGCCAAGGGAGCCAAGACCTCCACCTCCAGCTCAGTCACAAGGACAGCCTTCTCAACCTGGTTACACAGTAAACAGAACTATTGGTTGGTGTGGCTAATCCTGTGAGGAGGGTTTTGCGGATTGTGATTAAATTGTGGGATGGAATATTTTTTCACGAGTGGATGAATTGTTTGAAACAAAACTCTTTAATAGATCTATCTTTAACTTGGGAATGCATTGGGATCGCGTTTACATTCTTACTTGACCTTGCTATATATCTTCCGAGTGAATTTAATTTCTTTTAAAAGCTTCCTATGCTACAGCATTCGAATGTACCTACGGGAAAGGAAAATAAAGAACCTTGGGAAGTAGTACTTGAATGCTGAAGAACTTGGGAGAACAGTTTGCACTTTCTACCCGGTTCCTAGCCTGCTGAGCAGCATGCGCGAGATACTGGAGCAAGTGAGCTGGTTTAATGGAGGGAATCTGTGTGTCCCCTCTAGCGTTGTTTCTGGCTCCGGCTTTACGGCTCCACAAGATGTTTATCGCCTCTCTCTTATTGACTGCTTTGAATTGAGGGATACGTTTTGTTTGTTGGAGAGGAAATTTCATTAGCTGTATCAGCTAACTAGGATTAAGCTGTCTATGCAATCTCCAAGATGCAAATAGTTAATGGATTTTATGTATTCAAACATTCTAAGATAAATATGTTGGCCCAAAAGGACTTTTTTTTTTTTTTTTTTCTGTTTTTTCAATTTAAAGGTATGCAAACGGTTTGGATAAAACATGAGCGCGAATTTTGAATAAATACGATGAAGCTATGGTATTGGTTTGCAAAAACAAATACAATGAAAAGTATGGCGAAGTACAGTTAATCCAGTATATTTTGTAAGTCTTGTGACAAAAATTTATTACTTTTTTTGGTGTCAAAATGACAAAAAATTTATTACTTTAGGGTGTTTTAAAGATTCGATCTGGCTATAATTTGACTTGTACAGGTTTAATGACAATTTCTTAGCATTCGGAGTTTTGGAGGAAGAAAAATTATGGATCTTAATCCAATGATCATAGTCATATAATGAGAGTTCATAGTCATATAATGAGTGCGTTAACGCTCATTTCAGCTGCTGTAGTATAGTAATTCCACAGTTAAGAAAAACAAATTACTACAAATGCAGTCGGCGTGGGACCCGGCCGCAGAAATTAAAGAGCAGAACAGAAATACTCTGCTAAACCCTACTAACTAATCTCAGTAGCCATTACCAAAGAGAAGAAACCCATAGCTTCCTTCTGTAATTGGGCACTCTTAAACCCTAAAAATGAATCTCTGCATTCCTCACTATGCCTCCATCAGATTGTCACAACTCAATGAGCTGAAGGTCAGCAACTCTTTGTAAATTTTTGTTTTTCAACCACTTGGAATTCTAATTTTGTTTTATTTTCTTCATTTACCTTTTTTTTTTTTTTATCCGTTTACTTTCTTAGACAAAATGTATGTTTTGCTTGCAGTGGAAAACTTAAAACTGCTTGGAAAATGCATGTTTAGTCCACTTGTGTGTAGGTTTTTTTTTTTGCCCCGTCTGCTGTGTTAGAAAAGATTGTGTCGAAGCAAATTTGATGGTATTGTGCAGAATGTTGGAGTGGTCGGCAGTAGGCGGGGAAATTTTATAGTGATGGCAGCTTCATCAACCGTAATGGAGGCCTCAAATTACATTCCAGCAGCACCGAGTTTTTTGCCTGAAGGGCCTTGGCGGCAGGTCAGCAACCGCAATAATTCTCATTGCTTGAGATTTTCCTGCATTGTCTTAATTTTAGAATTTAGTGGAGGAACTTAAGTCTTTATGCTCTGTCAGAGCCAGAAAGAGAACAGAGATTGGGGAGGTAGTGGTTTTTTCCTTTTTTTTTTTTTTCCTTTATTGTTTTGGCTCTGGGTGGTGGGGAGGGGTGGGGTTTGAATATGTTACTTGCGAATTTAATCAGCATTTGACAAGCCTAGGGCTTTGAATGGTATAGATACCAGGTGGAGTTACTGCTGCCAAAGGTTTTCAGGCTGCAGGTATGTATGGAGGACTTCGTGCAGTAGGCGAGAAGCCTGATCTTGCGCTTGTCACTTGTGATGTAAATGCCATAGCTGCAGGTAAGTTCTGTCGTGTTCGTTTTCAAATTACGTTTTGGGACTATAACCATCAGAATTATTCTACTTTTCCATATGTAAGGCCATGATTCACTTTCCAGAGCTTTTGTTAATTTTGTTCTTGAACTTAGAATCTATATTTCTGCAGGGGCATTTACCAAGAATGTGGTTGCAGCTGCACCAGTGTTGTACTGCAAAAAAGTATTAGAAAGTTCAAGAACAGTATGTAAACAACAATTGATAGCTTGTTCTCAAGTTCCATATCACTGATATTGGTGAAATGCTTAGATAAAATAAATAGAACAGAAATTGTAATGTCAAAATGAACTTCAAGATACATGAACTTTGCCTCCACATTATTCTGCTTTTAGCTACCATTTGTTGCTTAACTCATGTTCTTTTATTTCGATCTATTTCTTTTTTCACGTTTGCATGAGGAATACAGAACTGTTACTATCTTTCAGATATCTGTATCCACCAGTCCCAGTCTTAATATCATATTGATGTATTCATAGTTGTATTACGTTAAGTCACTAGTTGACAGTAAAGGATTACAGTCCAAATTATTGAAATTCATCCTGGTTATAAGTATTAAAGGCAGTAGAGAATTGAGCTGAGGAAGTGTTTGCTTTTGCTCTCTTCTACTTTATCATTAATAGAATGACATGAGAAAGCTATTGTAAGTAGACATCATTCTCTGCACTTAGAAGCGAATTAGGTGAATTTTCATCCACATGGATATCTGTCTTTGCTACTGCACCTATTTTTGAGGCTGGAGATGAAAATGATTTTCTGCATCCTGTCTCAACTGTAGATTAACATGGCTGATTTCCATTAGGTTGTTTGCTCATGCTGAAGCTACTAAATACTAATAAGTTGCCTAAGCTTTGCTTGTGCCTTGAAGATTATCCCATGGAACTGCAAATGAACTTGTTCGATGTCTCTAAATGCTATCTGACCTTGTTTGTGTTTGGGCTTTTTACGTTCTGATTTACCAGTTGTATTCTAATTTTCTGAATAAAATGTTCAGGCTCGAGCAGTTTTGATAAATGCAGGTCAAGCAAATGCCGCAACTGTAAGTTTATGTGGGAGTTGGGTTTCCAGTTTATTGAGGGCTGTTCCTAGTTTCAATAAGCAGACGACAGCTGACATGAACTTATCTTTTATATTATTTCAGTTGATGGTCATGTGCTGGACATTAAGTTATCTGAATCTAGAGCTAACCAAAAGAGTTTTTTCAAGTCATCATGCCAGCATGTTGCATAAAATTGTCTACCTATTAAATTTCATATGATTAAGCTAAAATTAATTTTTTCAGGGTGATGCAGGCTACCAGGATGTTATAGATTGTTCAAAATCCCTTGAGAAGGTGCGCAAGTTTGAGTGTCTCAAACGTTCCTCACTGTACCTTAGTTTTTTGTAGTGTTGATGTTTGAAATCTTACAGTTACTTGGGCTGAATCCTGGGGAAGTATTGATTGAATCCACTGGTGTTATTGGTCAGAGAATAAAGAAGGTAAAATCTAACGGAAATTCTATTTGTTGCTGTTTTTTATTTTGCTTTATTGCTGATAAAATGGTGTAGTAAACCATGTGGGATCCTTTACGTATGCATCCCCAACTGCAAATACTCAGTGTCATACTGTAATTAATTCTTTAGGATACATCCACTGATGTCCACATCTTCTACAGGATGCTCTTCTCAGATCACTTCCTAAGTTAGTTAATCTATTGTCATCAACTGTTGAGGGGTATGTACATCTTCTCTTCACTCTTACTGTTGGTTTCTATCTACGTACAATAACTGTCCACTCTTGTTTATTTAGTGAACTGCAAAAGTAGATTTTGTGGCTCTTCCCTTTTTTTTTTTCAATTTCTCTACTTTCATTTCTTTTAAAGTAGATATTTTTATATATTTATGTGATTTTATCGATTATTTGAAGGTTTATCATTCTTTTTTCCACTGTTTGGTGTCTCTCCTATATTGTTTGGGCTATGTTGAATCTCTTTACTGGATTAACAGAGCAGATTCTGCAGCTGTGGCAATAACCACCACTGATCTTGTTAGTAAGAGCGTAGCAATTGAGTCTGAGGTACATGGAACCATTATGCTATACTTAGTTAGCTGTAACTCGTCTATTTTTCATTCTCTCTCTCTCTCTCTCTGTGAGTATATGTTTCAAAAAATAAGCATTTGGTGCCAGGATCTTTATGAACTAAGTTGCTGTTTGAGTCATTATTGTTTAAGATATTTTTGTGCATATCTTTTGATGGATTTTTTCCCTTCATTTGCACATTAATTCTGCTGTATAATAAGAATTATCTTTCCTCTGCATTGAATCTGAAAAATCATCTATTTGCTCTGAAATTATCAGGTTGGAGACACTTGTGTAAGAATTGGGGGAATGGCAAAAGGTTCTGGGATGATCCACCCTAACATGGCAACAATGCTTGGAGTATGTCTCTTACGTGATGTCCTATTACTGCTCCAACGCTTGGTATTCTTATTGCTGTGTGACAGTGAGAATTTTCCAGGTCATAACAACCGATGCCCAGGTCACGAGTGATGTTTGGAGAAAGATGGTGCAGGTTTCCGTAAGCCGGAGTTTCAACCAAATCACCGTGAGCATAGTTGATCTCTGGTTTTCTGTCTACAGTTTCTGACAGCATTAGTTCCAAAATACAGGTTCTTGAATTTTGATTAATGGATTTCTCTACGGGAGTTGCAGCTACGGTGAAAGATATTCAATAGAGCTACTTTGAGCAGGAATCAAGTTTTATCTGATGATTAGCACCTGAAGAAAAATAACTAGGAGAAATCATTTAAGATGGTCAAGACTCGTAGATATAACTGTTTAGATGGGTGATAAATAAATACTGAAGGAAAAGAAGAATAAGGAGTATATAAATAATAATTCGGAAAGAGTTAAAAATGCTGCAAGATTTAAGGGAATGCAAAGTTCATAAGGAGAAAGAAAGAAAAGGGAGATTCTTGTAGCGCACCAATAAAGATAAGACTTGGGTATGAGTTTACTGGTAGATATGTTTTAAACACCAGTAAAATTGCATTTTCTAGCCTTTGTACAGAATATGTGAAAAAGTAGCTCTATGCAGTTTATTGAGCATCTGAAACTATATTTATTTATTTTTGCAGTCACGTGCATTATTGTTGTTTTTCATTACATAGTAAGGGCATTTGAAATGTCACATACTACGCATCATGTAAGATGCAGTTGTCAGAAATACAACATTTTACTGCTCCATAAAAGTTCTCTGTCTTGTATCATTTGCTATGAATAGTTAAAATCTCACTTATAACAAAAGTTTCAGAGAGAAAGCATGCAATAGTTACAGTAGTTATTTGTCTTTTCTATATTTTGTAATAACAATATAAGGTTTTTATAGTCCTGAAAATAGTACTTCCAGTTTGACTAAATATGTTTGGTTCTCTGAAGTTTTAACTGTGCATTTACAGGTAGATGGAGATACCAGTACTAATGATGCTGTCATTGCCTTGGCAAGTGGGCTTTCAGGGACAAAAACAATTTCTACTTTGAACAGTCTAGAGGCAGAGCATCTACAACTCTGCCTAGATGCTGTGAGTTCATACACCTTCTAACTTTCTTCCCAACCATAATCAGAGAATACAGTCTAAGCTTGTTTCCATGCAGTGGTATTCCGTTGGCCCTCATTTGTGTCCCTCAGGCCTTTTGTGTTTTAGACAAGGTTAGCCATGATGTCTTAAAAATAAAATTACATTTACAATAGCTCTGGATTAACTCTTCTTTGAAGCACATTTAACCTACCTCTATTCTTATGTATTGCATTTAGGGTGCTGGTATCTTCTTTGATGAAGCAGCATATCAAGAAATTGCACAATTCTTTATACACGTAGTGGTCTTTTTGTCTTCCCTCTTGAATTTCGAGTGATATATCTGTGGATTTACTATAGAGGTGTTCAAGAATTGGTCGAAGTTACATTCCTTGTGGAATTGTCTCTCTCTCCAGCATATGCCTTTTGTCTCTTAGGAAACTATTGCTACTTGGGAATTTCATCTAAAATTTGTTGAAACTCTAGTCTTGCTTTGCTAATGATAATTTGGTGACGTTAATAGATAGTGAGATTGCAACATGATTCTTTTTCAGGTAATGCAAAGTCTTGCAAAGTCTATAGCTTGGGATGGGGAAGGAGCAACATGTTTAATTGAGGTTTGTATCTTGTATAAAGAAGAAAGTAAAAGAAAAGCTACCCATCATATATGCTTTTTTTTCTTTTTTTTTTCTTTTCCTTCTTTTTTCTTTTTTCTTTAACAATGGTCTGCTCCACCTGTACCCTATATTGGCCAAATTAAAAATATCACCTTTTTTTTTTAATCCACGTCGCCTATGTGACAAGCAACTTTCATCGAATGAGACTTGAGTCAAAGAATTTTACGCCATTAACTATTTTTATAACGGTTTTCCATTAATGTTTCTAGATTAATGTCCAGAAAGCTGCAAAGTTTCCATCTCTGGAGCCTTTTATTTGATAGCAAAAATGCCTTTTACTCAAGTTATAGATTTTGGTGCTGGAGGCTTTTGGGTTGCTGGGTAGATTATAATTGGTCAGCTTTGTAAAGGGTCAGTTAGAATTGTCCTAATTAGTCCTTTGCAACAAACTATCTGATTAGCTTCTGTTTGAGGTCTATGTTCTTTTTTCTGTGGAATAATGGATTATGGAAGTAATTTTTCTGTGGCTGTCAATCTAACTTTAAAGTGTATGTGTAGGTCAGGGTAAATGGTGCAGACAATGAAGCTGAAGCAGCAAGAATTGCACGCTCAGTGGCATCTTCTTCTCTTACCAAGGTATGTTATTGTTGTATGTGTTTTTGTATTCATAAATTAATATATATGCTTATGTATACGGCTTTTCTGAAAGGAGTTTTTGGATATACAGGCTGCTGTATATGGTAGAGATCCAAACTGGGGACGTATTGCGGCTGCTGCTGGCAAAGCAGATATTCTTTTTGACCAAAACAAGCTTCGTATAATGCTTGGCAATTTTCTACTTATGGATGGAGGTCAGCCTCTTCCATTTGACAGGTAAGCAAGCAAAGCAATCCACTGCAACCCACAGAAGATTCTTGAACAATTTTGCTATTGTCACCTCTGTGAGCATTGAATCAGCTAGAATTTTCTACTTTCTGCTTGTGCTTTCATTGTATCTCTGTGGTCTTTCTAGTTTTTATTCAACTGGCAAATTTTGTTGAGATAATTAGGCAATTGGAGTGTGCATCTTCCTTGCATCTAGCAGCTTATTCTATTTCAGCTGGTTTCCAGTCTTTCTTGTTCGTTTGGCTTTAACTTTTTTATGGCAATCTAAAATGTGAGACCTTGCAGGCCCGCTGCCAGTAACTATCTGAGAAAGGCTGGAGAGACTCACGGCAAAGTTGAAATTCAAATATCTATTGGTAAGCTGTAGAAAATTTATGTCATAACCATTCGAAGCTTTATGATCATGTATCTATTGAAACTTTTAGTCAGTATGATTTACAACTGCAGAGTCTGTTGCCTGGCATGTGATGTTGTTCACGGTTTAATGTAACTTCCATTCTAAGAAAATTGAGCTACACATCAGAATTTCAACTGTCATACTTTGTACAAACCTTGTTACAGTAAAAAAGATAGCAGGGAACCTGTTTATGAGAATAGCACCAGTATTTTATTCAAATCATATGCAAAGCCATCATTACTCATATACAGTTTACTTGTTAAATAGGAGATATGGGTCAAATTTGTAATGTGCGTTATTATTCAGTTTACTCTTAAGATTTGCATGCTCAATTATGGGACTAGCAGCCACACCTACTTTTTTCACTCTTCCAGTCAACGATTGCTTGAAATGTGCTTGAACTTTGTATGGTACAGTGTGAAATTGCTAATTGATGATGATGCATGGTCGTCCGGTCTTGAAGCTGTCATGATATTTGTCTGAATAAATTAGAAGTTATTCTGCTTTCATGTCATTTTTACATTATTAGGTATATAGATATCCTTCTCTTGATTGTGCTACAAATTTTATCTTCACTATTCCTGCTTTTGAATTTAACACAAAGCGGTGTCTGTTACTGTGCTAGCTGCAAATTAGCCCAATAGGCTTCAGAAGAAATGATGAAGCAAAATCGAAGTTTCAGTCTGGCGGAACATTCTTGCTTACCACTTTTTCCATTTTGTGTTCAATCCTGTCAATTAATGTAATCGTTCTACTTTTCCACAGGTGATGGTCCTGGCAATGGTCTTGCTTGGGGCTGTGACTTAAGCTATGACTATATAAAAATCAATGCGGAGTATACTACCTAGAAGATCTGCCTTCAACAGATTTGATTACCCCCTTCCCAATCGCTGGACGCGAATAAGCTTGCAGGTAAACAGTGGAATCGTGATTCAAGACGTCATATGAAGGATTACTGCCAATTGCTGGATCTTTATGGCTCCAGAGCATAAACTCTAGGGATACAGAAGTCCCCACTAAATATTGGGTGAAAAGGATGAATGGATATGGTTTTTTTTTTCCTTGCCGCTGCAAGACCTTGAGTTTGAAAATATGTTGCGGCTTATCATTCCCGCAGGACTCTGCATGTCTTTTGATTAGTTGCATACTGCCATCCAAACAATATCCGTGTACATTACCACTTCGGTTAATTGATAGCCGTCACCCTCCAGTGAACGTAGTTCTCTAGCATGATCCTGGATTTGCCATATCTACAATATGAGGTATCATTGCTTTGGGTCGAATCATAAAGCGTTTCATATGATATAAACAAACATCCCTTCTCAGATCACTTCAATTTTTATGTACTTTAAAACATCTAAAAATCATAATCTATAATTATAAATCTTCCAATACAAGCACCTTGTTATGATTTCACTCCAATCACTAACCCCTTTCCTCGTACATCCCCTTCCCATTCCCCTTCTTACAGTTAAAAGGAAGGACATCAGGCATGACCGGCTCCCAATAGTGTGATGGGTAGCATATACAAGGCTCGGAAGCGGATTCACCACAGCATGTCTGACCGGCGGCATACTCCGGGCTTACTCTCGAAAAGTAAATTGCTTGTGCTAAACTTCCGTACTGTAAGTGGCAGTACAATACCTTATCCCAAAATGTTGCCCGCAATGAGAAGAACAATTATTTTAATAAGGTAATCCCACTAATTACTTATTTACCATTATAACATCAACCGAAGTAAGTAGTTTTTGAAACGCAGATCCAAGTTGTTAAACAAAACCTGTCTCCATTTGTCGCTCTTGCCTCGCATGTCCTAGACTCAACAGAACCTCGCAGACTACCATTATTTATTTACAGAACCGGTCAAATGGTTTAAGACAGACAACATTAAACAGAATCCTCAAGTAGCCTCTGTAACCGAGAAGTGGATCGAAGTGACGGATTTCTTCAGGAAACTCTGCCCACAGAATGGATCCGGGCTACCAACATCAAAATCAATGGCATTGCGATGAGGTCCACTAAAGCAAGCTCCATTGCCCTCGTCATCCACGGGCTTGAAAGACCTGTTACTCCTCCCACCTCCCTTCCGAGATTGCTTTTTGTCCTTGCCCCTGTTTCCTCGGGATGTCTTGCCACTAGCCTTCAGCTTATTTTTTCCATTCCTTCTGTTATCGTTCCTATATCGTTGAGGCTTACTGCTTGGTACATGTGATACGGAGGTTGGAACTGGATCATACACATCAGCAGCCCAAGTCACTGTCAACTTCTGAGGTGGAGCCCCTTGCTTCTCACGGCTACCTTTCATGGCAGATACAAGCTTCAAAGGAGTCTGTGAGAGAATAAAGTGCAGCAAAAAGGGGAAAAAAATAAACTGTCAACGATTTTTCACCAAAAAATAATAGCTTGACCTCAACTATCCCTGTAAAGAGTCCTCCAGCACATCTGAAACAAAGTCAATTTTTGCACTTTGCTCCAGTGCCGTTTGCCCCCTTGTCAGCATCCATGCAAAATATAAAAACTTCGGAGCCACCAAGTAAATTCAAAAGATAGCATGGAACTCAAGAAATTGGAATTGAGCAAAGGAACACAAGAAAATGCCTACTTCTGTTGGGTATAATATTGGCCAGTGCTTTAGATGCCTGCATTACCTCAATCTAAATTAACAAAGCATTGAATTAAAAACACATCAGCCAATGCACATGACAGGGAAATAAAAGAATCACCAGGGAGCTAGAAGGGGCTTAGCAACAAGGATTTGTTATTACATAATTTGCAAAACTACACGGCTTGAACGCTATAAAAACATATACAAGTCTCAGTCTATAGGAATTTTATCCCAAAAACAAGAAGATAGAAGTTCACACCAAATGCTTTCACTTACCTCATAAACACCAAGAATACGGCAAAGCAATCATAACTACATTCAATAAAACCTCAACTCAGCATATTAGATTACAGTATCAGTGATATGAGCGATTGCCAAGAAGACTTCAATAACCATGTAATTAGTCTATCGGACCAACGAAAGTAAATTAATTTAATACGTCAAGGGAAGGGAAAAGGAAACATCTAAATGCACCACTGAATGATCCAATACTTACAGGTAAAGATATTGAACGTGGATATGGACAATTAGCAGATTGATCATGTCCATTCTCCACAGAATCTCCAGGTGTTAGGTCTTCCTTGTGACGTTCTTCCATGTCAAGTACATCAGCAGAGGATTTACTCTCAGCAGAACATGGGAATGTTGCACATTTAGCCAAGCACTTTTCATTAGTTAACTTGTCCAATTCATTCCCATGGGATTCTTTATACCCAACTTCCTTAGCTGAAGTACCAATTTGACCATCATTGGGAGATGGAACAGCAACAGATGATGACTTCTGCTTGTTTTGAATATGTAGAAACTCAGTCAAACGGTTGCCAAGATCATCATACAGATTTTTGTTGTGATCATTAGGATTATCAGGTGGACCCAATGACAACGCACAGAAGCTGCTTACATCTTCAGAAACTGGCATATCATGAGGACAACAGATGTCCATCAATTAGTACAGGAGCTGCAAAATAATGTCAAAGTGAATGGATCAGCACAATTCTTTCAGAATATTATGTCAAATGAAATGCAATACTCAATATAGAGCCTTGTTCAGTCATGTCCCTCAAAAACAGAAATAGTTCATAAGTGGCTGGAAGAAGAAAGCGAAAAGAGCAAGAGGACTACACTTCAGAATATTATGTCAAATGACATGCAATAGTCAATATAAAACATTGTATAGTCACAGGCACTCACAGCCCTCTAAAAACGGAAATAATTCACAAGTGGCTGGAAGGAGAAAGCGAAAAAAAAAAAAAAAAAAAAGGCAAGGAATGTCTTCATCATCAATCAGGCAGTCACATGACTGACATGGATGTTTTGCAGGGATGCTTTACAGCCGCATCAACAAACCTTAGTCAACAGAGTCACAAGTTTAATCTACCATTTCTTTATACTTAACCTAATTTGAAGCATAGCATTACAACTCCAATCTACCTTTCCTGTATTCCTGTAATAATTAACAACACAAGCATTAAAAACTGAACTCGTCGCTGAGCCCAACAGAATTATACAACTCCAATCTACCTTTCTTGTACTCCTCTAATAATTAACATGAGCATCAAAAAATGAACTCATCGCTCAGCACAAAAGAATTACACATCTCCAATCTACCTTTCTTGTATTCCTCTAATAATTAGCAACATGAGCATTAAAAACTGAACTCATCGCTAAGCGCAAAAGAATTACACATCTCCAATCTACCTTTCTTGTATTCCTCTAATACTTAACAACATGAGCATTAAAAACTGAACTCATCACTCAGCCCAACGGAAATCAATCCACTAAACGACCCATTACATGCAATTGAGGATGACATACAGGGCTCCTCATACCAACATCGTGCCGTTATTTCAACCTGAATTCAGAAAGTAAGGTCATTTTAAATCTTTTAGCTTCCCCTTTATAAACTTAGGGATTTTTCCCCTTTTAGTTTATCCTTCTTGCTATCCAAGTAACAATGAAAAATACCCATGCCATGCCACTAGTTTCCAATCAATTTGAGAAAGTTATTCATCTAGGCACAGAAAACATTGCGCATCCAAGCATACATAATTATTGAAAAAGATTTTTTTTTTTTTTTTTTTGGGGGGAAAAGAAGCGGGGGTGGGAGGAGGTCTGATAAACAGTAAATCCTAATACCACTTGTTAAATACCTTAAGTTGTACCTTTCTGTTGATCCGAGGATATGACAACTATAAAATATGCAAGCGATATGCCACCGATCCCAAAAGTCACCGAGCTACACCTTTTCAGCCAATAAAAACGAAGAAAGGAGGAGGTTTGGAGACGCGATGACCAGATCTCCGGGTGGATTGAATTATCAGCTAATTACATAGATTTTTATACAAACAGAAAATATGAAGTGTGCGAATGGAAGCTGAATAAACGCAGTCAATGGAAAAGAAGACAGATGTACAACGACGACTGTGTCGGCGAGGACGAGGATGAAAAGGAGGAGGAGATGCTTAGTGAAAACCTAATGTTAACTAAGATTACCACGCCGATCAGCTTTGTTTTGACGTTTCAGACGATGAGACGAAGATCCGCCATAGAATGACGTAACGTGAGGGCGCGTGGGGAGCTGAAGTGAAGAAGAAGAAAAAGACGAAGGCACCGAATGCATTGTTCAATCCGATGCTCTTCCCAGATACCACCCAACCCTATGATTATCTCAACCAAACAAAGCCACGATTGATTTTGAGTAATTATCAAAACCGCAACGATCAATTAATGGGGATAGGAGAGAATGGCGTTGATCAGAGTTTTCAGGCCACCGGGGAGTGAGATCAACTAATCGTCATGGACAGCAAGTCGGCATCGTAACCCTAGCTAGCATAACTTTAGAGACGGAGATGGAGAGACACTTTTTCTCCTTTTTTTCTTTTCCCAAAGAGGGTGGAAGGGAGACTGAGAAAATGGGCTAGACTCGGAGTCGGAGATAAAATGAATAAATTAATTGTCAGATCGTATTATTATTACTTTAAGAATTCTCTTGCCCTGTTGCCCACCCCACCTACTATTTGTATTTATATATTATGAGCTGTCCCCGGAGAGATGTGGTGATGGTCCGTCAGCGTGGAGACATGTGATGCACCATTCCCTAATCGACGCATCATATGCATGATAATAATATGCAGTTTATGCATGCCTGATGAAAAAAAAGAGAGAAGAAAAAGTGGCAGTGGCACCAATGTTTTAAAAATCGGACCGTTAATTGAACCGGTGAAGTGAAAGGGTCGAGGTTCAATCGATCGGATCGATTCAATCTCGGTTTAATAAATTTTTTAAAAAATAATTTATATAAATATATATATGTACAAAATAAGACATGTAATGGACTAATTTAATATTTTATATGATGAAAAGTTTACTATTTTTTAATAACTTGGATTTTTAAAAATAAATTTTTTAAATTATAAGTTAAAACAAATAAATTTCATCTCAATTTCAATTATATCTAAATCCAACCCCAAAATATCACAATATTTTGAAATTATACAAAATTCATGTATCTGAAAATTTAGATATTATGAATTTTAATTTTAATTTACGTTTTGAGATTTAGATATTGCAATTTAAAAAAGAAAATTTGGAGTTCGAAGAAAATCGAAAATAGAAATGTAAACTTAATAAGAAACAAAAAATAAGATAAAAGTGAGTGGTTGTGGCATTAAATAATTTGGGTTAAAAAAAAAATTTTAACTTTTTTCAATTTAATGGACAAAAACAAAATTAAAAGATGGAAGAAAATATTAATAAATTAAAAATAAAGAGGTTTGATTAAAAAGAGAGTGACAAAAGAAAAGATGATAGAGAGAGAGAGAGTTGAAAATTAAAAAAAAAAGAGCCATGAGGGGATGAGATTTTGTAAGAAAAATGGAAAAAAGAAATATGAATATTTGCTTTATATAAATAAGTTATCAAAAAAAACTAATAAGATGTGATGGTGCAACGGTTAATACATTGGTCATTTATTACAAAGGTCTTGGTTTCGAATCTTGATTGTTGCATTTTGCAAAACTTAAAATTAAAAAAAAAAAAAAAAGGGAAAGCTGAAACCAAAAAATCGCCAGTTCAATCCGATTCGGCG